GCATGCATACAGTCATACCGCGGTCTACCTTCGAGCATGCGTGTATACGTCAGTATATATAGCAACAGATATGCCGACGACCTGACATATACAAGCAACATTGCCCGGCGTGGTCTAGTGATGAGTGATCTGTCCCCTCGTCACCTGCACCAGGGGCACTCCCACCACAGCCAGCCAGGTTCGGAGCTATCACCGGCAGACCTGATCGTTCACACATTTCCTCTGTTATCTACTCTACATAAACCCTTCTTTCGGGGGAGCATGTTGAGCAGCGAACTACATACACACTATACATTAAACAATCGACGTTTCCAAAAGACGATTTACAGAACTGGACGGTTACGGAAATGCGAGATGCACTGCTTTGACAAAATACCTAAGAATATCAGTAACGACCGTACGAAACACTCATCAAATCTCTCATCAACCTGATGATCACGGCGCTGGACATTGTAACAGCAACTTCATCCATCGAAGCGCTAGCGGTAGTGGTAGCAGTACTAGCAGAAACGGCAGTCGTCGTCGCGAGTAGTAGTAGGCGGAAGCAATCATAGCAGTCGTGACAATCGCACGCGCAAAATTAAACAACTGGAGCCAGGACTCCTAACAATCGTACAACCAAACGATACTGACACCCACGGCAGTATTCGCATTCATATTTGATATTGCTTCTTATTGTTAATGTGACGATGACAGTCTTGTTACTATTCCCCACATCTTTGTGAGGGGTTCTTAATTTTATTGGCTGCCGTCAGCGCGCGTCCGCGCGTCCGCGTCCGCCGCCCGTCACTCCACTCTCTCTCTCTCTCTCTCTCCAAGACCTGCCACTCCCACTCTCTTCTTACTCCAACTCCAACACACACAACACACACACACACACACTGTGTGTGTGTGTGTATGTGTGTGTGTCAGAGGGAGAGAGTGTGTGTTGTGAGTGTGTGTGTGTGTGTGTCTGTGCGTGTGTGTCGTGTGTTGGCATGTGTTGCGTGCGTTCGTGTTCTGCATGTGTGCGTTGCTACGTGCGTGTGTGTGTGCATACACACACAAACACAAACACACA